GCTTCTTCGCGAGACTGAATTCAGTTCCCGAACGAGCTCCTTTGCACGTGAAAGTGAAGTTCTCAGCACGTGCAGCGAAACGTCGGACATCGTGCCAAAACGTGGTACAGCCCGACAACACATCCAACAGCTATACAAGTACCACGAAAAGGAGTATGCAGTATACCTTTTGTTATCTACTTCGTATCAAGTGATTCAAAGTTGAATTCCCACATTAGTCTTGCGACGATAAAGACTACATCATTAAGATGTCCTTAGTAATTAAAACAAAATATTTAACTCATCACGTGGCCTATGGGTACTCAAATAAAAAATTATATTTCATTGTAGGTTTCGATTTAAAGCTTTCGTGACTGCAGGGATTCATATTCTTGGTTCTTTCGGTAAAGTCACGTAGAAGGGAAAAAATAAAACATTAAAAAATTCTCACGACGTTTCGGCCACAACGCTACTTGCGTTGTGGCCGAAACGTCGTGAGAATTCTATGTTAAATTTTTATTATTTTCATTATAGGTGTTTTTTTTAGTTTTACATGATAAAATAAAAACACGTTTCATCAAGCTTTGGGTCATATATATTAATCATTTATCCCAATGTGATTTATGAAAAAAGATGAATAACAATGTTACGAATATTGACGTAACATTCCTTTAAAACAATGTATTTTAATTATAAAAAAGCATGTACGTTGCTAAACGGGATGGCATTATATAAAGCCCAATGCTTAGAAAAAGATATACACAAAGGAATGAAATAATTAAGAGGGCTTTGGTGTTGAATTCTTGCTCCCTGCTCGAGGAAAACAGTTAAATTAGACTCTCAGCGCAACGGAATCTGACCCAATAAGGTTATTTTTTTTAACCTAATCCTGAATTGTGGTTATATCGTGTTTATCAACAGTAACCACGACTTTCATATTTTGGTATGATAAATCAGTTTCACCGTGTCCCATTATGAATGAAAATATATGCTCATATATGCTAAAAACATATAAAACCTGTTTGAGATATAGTAAATATTTGCTTTGTATGTTTAACCATGCACCGTCAATATATTTTGCATGTACAGCTATGTGTAAAATATTTGAGTGATTTACTGTTTCCATTAAACATGTACATATATATTCATTATAAGAAACATTTTCTTTTACACATTGGATCGGCCTTGTAGGCGAGGATATTTTTTTCTATGGACCACAGCACATGTAATCCAAAATCATCATAACCCTATTTCCCAATGTATTCCTTGTGCTCTGTACAGTAAACTGCAGACAACGTGGATGCACTTTCCAGCATCTCGTATTTAATTGTAACACATCAGCACACTTTGATTTGGAAAATTATAGGTAACCCCAATCAGGACATCAAGGAAAAGAAGCGAATAGATAGGTCACCCATAAGGATAAAGTGCTTTAGAAATGCAGCTGTGCCACTGGAATAACTGATGTGACTACCATCATATCGGTAAGACAAAGATATGGTACAGTGTAAGTACTGTTTAATAATATTGCTGAATGAAATCTACCCTAAGTAATTATATTAGTTTACTGTGTGAAGCAGGTCTTATGCATTACGAAATGAAGTTTATAATTTTCCAAACAATGTCGGCAAAAAGAAAAGCGAACAAAATTCATGATAAAATGAAATGTTACTTATACAGTGTATGAGGTAGATTCATCATGTTAAGGTAAAAAATAGTTTTTTTCTTAAATGCACGCATACACCTTAAATCTTTACAACTAAGTATTTTATTTCACTGCTGTAAATTCTAATTAAAATGTCTCGTAACTAAATTGTAATCCTGAGAAGGCCTGCTCAAAGAGTAGTCAGGGTCAGACCCCATGAATCGGGCCCTGTTAGTGACCCCGTGGGGCCCTGGGTCTGGCAAGACAGCACAATGAAGGGCTGGCGAGTGCTAATTCAAATCAATAATCTTTGTCATCGCATCAGCATTTTTTTTACAGGTGTGAAATAAAAGAGTGATACATGGCTTAACGTGATGCAGATGGAGAAGGGTAGAATATCAAACATTTCTCAGAGGCGACTGTCATCTGAATAGCATTTTGAACAATGGTTCTGTTGTGAAAGGTTAACAATATATTGGTCCATAACACAGAGTTTTTGGGGTTAGATCGCGTAAATATATAAACGTGGCGTTAAACCCGCCACCATCCGACAGCCAATTAGTAAGGTTTGTCACGTAAACAGAACGTGCCAATTCGTTACTAGTACAGCACACTGGTATGTTGGAGAGCAAAGCCACATTTACAATCTGAGTACAACGTTTCGCCAGTAATTACAACTAGCTTCATCAGGCAACAAGTCTTAATACTAGTTTCATCAGGCGACCTGATGAAGCTAGCTGTAATTACATGCGAAACGTTGTACTCAGATTGTAAATGGGGCTTTGCTCTCCAACATACCGGTGTGCTGTACTAGTAACGAAGTGGCACGTTCTGTTTACGTGACAAACCTTACTAATTGGCTGTGTCGGGTGGTGGCGGGTTTAACGACACATTTATATATTTACACGACCTAACCCAAAAAATCCCGTATCATGGATGACATTGGTCGCTAAAGCCTACGTGTTAAAATAATATATTGGGTCATAGGGTAAATTCATGCTTTTACGTAACCGTGTTTTCAAAGGAGATCAATAAGGATGGTTATGTAGTTTGAACTCTCCCAAGTTTCACACACACACACATTGAGCCTATGCTCTGATTCAGTATAAATGCTTCACTGCCTCCATACCTGTAGCCGGTTTTTTTTTAAACACCTGCAGGGAATTTCCCCTTGGTTGTCATTTAGCAGAGTACAAGAGGGGGGAACATACTCGAGTGAATTATGCAACCAGTTCCCAAAACAGGGAGACGGAACATGTATCATTCCTTCACCCCTTTAGCCATGCAACCTTTCTCACCTTGAAGTGTGCAACACATGTCATTTTACTGAAATGTTTCTGAGCAGTTGTGCAAGACTGAAAAAAAACATCAATTCATCAAAATGCCACTTTCTTTTTTTACGTCTTGCGAAAATGTCACTTCTGAACGCATTATTACATCAGGAGTATTTTATTATATATAAACTTAAGTTTATCATCAGGGTAGCTGGATAACCATTGGAGGTATGAAATTGCAAAGTGCAACTTCGTGTCAGGGTGAAAAAGTGCATACACATTGGGAAAAAGAACGTCCGATGTTCTGACACGGTTTGAGCATGGTGAAAACCAACAACCTATTTTATATTTATACAGCGCCTTAACCCAAGGTGCTTTACATAGTTCAAAACGTGGTAACAAAATAGAGCGATTTAGATGGCAGGAGCGTACGAGGGCCGAGGAATGAGTGGCCGTGGCAACGGAGGGCACGTGGGGCAGGGGAGGGACCGAAAGGAGTGGAGGGAAGAGGAAGGGAATGGGCAATGGAGAAGAGATAATGTGCACAACACATTGTCAAGTAACGGTGAACGTGCAATGAAGCGTGTGTAAATGGTTTGTTGTGTGGAACTGTAGCCCAGGAAGATGTTGTAAATGAACAAGCTTTATAAATAGTGAACAGTCACGTCTAACATATTAGTCCTTACATATTAAATGGTTTGGCTTTTAAGTCCAAAACCTTTACGGTTTTCAGGCCATCTGTGTTGGCTATAAAATAATGTATTTCCTTATGCCTATAAGAATGTAATATTTCTGCTCATAAGGCTTTAGGAATACAATCGGTAAATTGTACAAATGCGTCGGTAATTTAGCACCATCGGTCTATGGGTATAATTTTCCTTTTTGCGTGAGCACTTCTGGAAGAATGAACCACACTAATACTCACATGAGTCACAATTGTTTTCTACCACGTGTATATCCCACTATTCACCAGTATCTAAAGTAGAAAGTTATACTCGTAATGTAAACAACTACCTAACACAGTTGAAATACACTCATAAAAACAGAAACGCAACTGCAGTACTGCATTGGGTTTAAAAAGGGCGATTGACACCCCCAATTCCCCAATATAACAATTCAGACACGACCTCAGTTTCCATTTACATTATGTGCACTTGGAATTGATTTCGGTCTGGCCCTGGTTACACAGGGTTTATTTTCCCCTAAAATGATTCTCATTTTATGTTCACACCAGCTGTTGTCTTGCCTCAAAGACCCACCGAGCCCAAAGGTTCCTACTCAAGAGTGTGAGTAAGCACTCGGACTAGCCTTACATCACTTTTCCACGACCAAGGGGAAGCGTGTTGGCCCAATTTTGCGAGAAAAGTTTACTGTCTTGTCGGCCCGAGTTCCCACAGCAGCCCTCACATGCCGACCCAACCCAAGTACTTCTCTTCCACCGTACAACCCATGCCGCAACAGGGCTGTGCCGAGCCGGCCCGGTACAGCTGGAAGGTGCCAGGTTTTTGTCCACTGCAGAAGCAGAGCCATACTGCCTGACGTCACATGCAATGCATGTACGTCATAAAGCATAAAACTTGAAAGTGCATTAACTCGTGAAACATAAGACGAACACGATTAGCCTCACATTTGGCCTCGCTTGGCCTCAAGCCAACTTCAGATATCGGTGCGAGGCCAGTGGTTCGGCTATGTAATTAGCCAGTGGAAAAAAAACATCCATACCTAGATGGTCCCTGTGCTGGCGTGACTTAGATGTGCCAGTGGAAAAGGAGTACAAGTGAGTCTGCGATGTGGGCCTGGAAGATCGCTTCCACAAGGAAGCCGCGCACTGTTAAGTGGGCCAACCTTGGAAGCAGTCGTGACATCGCAGGGTTAACGCAGAAAGATGACGCACGGTCAGTGACATCTCTTTTCAGAGTGCAACTTTACAAGCCGCGCCATTCTTCAGAATGGCTTAACATTTTACAACAAAATTTTATTTTAATTTGTACACAATACCTTGTTAAACGGGAACTTTATTTGAGACAGCAGTTAACAGTGGTCGTGGAAACATAGCAGGCTCTTGCAAACTTAAGTTTTTGCCTCAAACTCAATATTCAACCTTCACACCAGCAATCCCCTGTCCACTCTTAAGCACCTGATTTTGAACACCAACATTGAGCACCATTGAGCACCATTGGTTTAATGTACTGGTGTAATTGGTAACAGGGGGGTGGAGTGGGGAGTTGTAGGTGGGAAATAACAACAAAAAAAACCACCAAAGGTAGTCTTAGTTTATGTCTGTGGTTTCTTTGAGCACTCTGTCCTGTATCACAGAGCACTTCTGCTAAGCCTTTCACATGTCTGGTGTAATGACTGCACAATACAAACAGATAGAAAGCAAAGTACTAACTTGGTGTTGTTCTATGTACTTTTGAAGAAAGTTTTAGCACCATTGGATTGTATAATGCTCTAAAATCTAACTGTTTTACATGATGTTATTGCTTTAGCAGATATACTGTGCTTGTGTGTGCTTGTGTGAGTGTGTGCAGTTTTCCACTTGATCACTTATCATTTCATATGGAATATTTTATAAGACCAACTTTGTAAACGTAACATCAAATGAAAATATATTTTAAATACACCGTAATAAAGATTTTAGAAAAATATGTTTGTACAAGCATAAGGTGTGTTTTGTATTCACGATAACATTTAAAACAAAAATAATGCTGAAGTATTGCATTGTAAAAGTAAATATTAAAAGGCACTGCTAACACCACAACCATACTCCAATGCACACGACACTGGCACCTTTGGAGTTAAACCAACCGCACCACAAGACATTTAACCAATGTCTGCTGTGGCTTCGTGATGGGTTGATTTTACGGTTTTAGGTTGGCATGCATTCCCATCAGGCTTGCTAGGATTTTTTTTTAAATGAGTCACACTATGTGCTTTTCCAGGAGAAAATGTAGCTTCTCTTTAAAAGTATAGTTATTTTTTATTAAGATTTTGGTCTCATAATAAATCAACATTTTAAAACAAATTTTTTGTTGTTTTAATTTGAAGTCATTTCTAGCAAGCCTGCACAAAACCAAATGTCCTGGTTGCTGCAGCAGCATTTGATAGTTTGCAAAATAACTAGGGAATACTTCAAACGATGAAGGTTTATTGAGCCTTTACTATTTGCTTTTTTTAAATATCGGTGAAATGTGATTCCCTACATTTTGCTAACACTAAAACAAGAGATGTTAATGCGGCTGAACTGACGATAATCCCCTACATTGGGCAAGTAACGATTTACCTACTACAAACTAGCGAACTGTCACAATTCAGGGGTCATGATTCTGGAATTGATTTCAATATTACTTTGCTAACACATTTTATTCACTGCCTCATTTGTACTGTGTAAAGTGTACTCTATTGTAAATACTCTCTTGTTGGTTAAGTTTTCTTCATTTGATCTGTCTTATTTGTATTATCTCATTCATGATGACTCAGTCGAATTTTCTATCTTGCGTGTATCCTCTCAAATGTACCTTTTTTGTCCGTCTAATTTGTTTTTATTATCCATCAGCACCATCTCGTTTGTTTTGTCCATCTTGTTTCTACGGTCTGTCTCATTATTACCATTAGCCCAAATGCAACATTGCAATATAATTTGCTCATAACGTGCATAAATTAAAAAAAATACCCGATGCACGTATCGCTAGTGATTTTAATTGGTGAATCATCGATGCATCGTTACATGCCCACTATCTGGTGTGGCGCCCAAAACATGTGTGAAATGGCAGTGGCAGATTTAACTTTGGTTCACAACACTGCATCACTCCCAATGGAGATTAAACCCACCATGCTGGTGGTTGGTGGACAGATAATAACATTTGGAGCATACCATATTTCTTTCATGGGTTTATCGAGATTCACGTTGATTTTAAAGTCTATTTTGTTTAACCAGATGAGAACTGAAGTGACCAGGATGGTCTCATTGCAAGTGTGACCTGGGGCATTAGTCTGCCAGTAGCGGTCGATGATTGCTATGTATAATCACAAATAAGTAATTTGTGATGCATTATGTTGCACCATTGCTAGATCTGCCTTTTTAAGGAAAAATATAAATGTGTTACAGATTGATAAATGGGTTTTAATGCTTGAGAGTGCACGTCAGACATTATAAAGTAGACATATATGAAGTGTAAGAACCCATATCTGCCTAAAAATAACGGATCATATTTATATCGTGTGAACCTACTAAGTAGTGCTCAACACAAGGTTTTCATCTTCAGAGCAATGTATGCAATTTTCTCTGAGCATAAAGTGTGATATGTATGTATGTTGAACTTCTTTTGCACCATACATAGCCAACCGTGCTAATAGGTGCAGATATCTTCATTACATATACTGTATATGTGAAATGAAAAGACTGTGCTTTTTGTGTATTTTATTCATTTAAACTCAGTGTAATCATATTTTACTGGAAACCCTTAATAGAGTTAAATAATTGTTGTAAAAAAATGTTATATATATTTTTTATAATTTCTTATAACATTCACTAAAGTGCACTGTGAAATAAATATAACTATGCTTATTCTGCTTAAGCGAGACAAAAAATATAATTTATATATACTGTATGTTTTATAAAATAGCATTGTTAATAAAATTAACTCTTCATATTTTTTTTATCTAACCCTTTTCAGGAAAAAAATAAAGCAATCATCACCTGGCCTGAGATAGTAATGAGGCCCTGCATGGTCTAGTGTGAGGCACAGGTGATGAGACCTATGCAGCACATTCTAATTCATGACACCACGCAATTGAAATCAGTATTTTGCACCAACATTTAAATCCTGCACAAACACATTTTTACCAAGTAAAATTCAGTTAGCAGCATACTTAATTTAATAACAATATCGACGTCTAGAAAAGGCGTTTCTTTTAAAAAACAATGGGAAGAAGGAAGAAGTGGAAAACGTTGAGAATCTTGTTGACTCAGAGAACCGTGATGACAGTGCTTCATTGACAAAAGAAGTGTGTAAGAGACTACGGCAGAGATGATAAAAAAAGATCAGATCAAAATCGGACAATTCCAAATTGGTTCGGATTAAGCTTGCCTAGCACATACCTCAACCATGAACATATTCCTGCTTATTGCAATAAAAATTTCAAACGTCAAAAAAATCATAACAAAATATCATCAAACGAAATGCGCAGACAACTGCGGACACCGCGACGGATCAGACAGTCGTCTCGTACTCGTACATCTCGTACGAGAGCGTGACGTCACGGTACTGGATGGCGGTGGCAGTAGGAGTGAGGAACTCTAGGACGTAGATGTTACCCCGCAGGCGCCGGTCGATGAAGTGCGCGTCCCACGCCGGGTATTTCTTGCGCGGGATGTCCACCCTGATCACGGGCCCCTCCGGGCGGTACTGCATGGCAGGCGAGGGTGGAATGGGCGACATCCGCACTTCAAAAACGGGCGTGTAGCCATCCGCTTCGCTCAGCTCCCTGCTGCCCCGTAGCGCGGCATCAGACAGCGACACTGGGGGCCGTGGCACCAGGTGTGGCGGGCTGGGCGGCTGAGGGATGGTCATGCCATTCAGTGCGGCCGAGCAACAAGAGCCAGGCATCCCCTGAAAGCGTCGGCCGCCCGGGTGAAGGAAGCCATAGTAAACCAGCATTATGGCCATCCCCAGCGAGAAACTGATCACACTGAAACAGAGGAGAGGCAGAGCGTAGGCGTCAGTTGCCAAGGGGTCTCTGTTGAAATACCACAGTAGCATCATGGCCGAGTTTTCTGTCAACACGATAAGGTAAAACGCAAACATTCTCCGATGGGTCTTTCCCTCCTTGACGTTGAACCAGCAGAAGATGTAGATTACACCCATGAGCATGTCGACCAGAATCTCCTCCCACTTGGACATGCAAAAGTCGGTCTCCACCGTGATGATCCAGAATGTCATGATGCACCAGTGCACCACCAGGAAAATGACAAAGTACAGCTGAAAGATGGAGGCGAACAGAGCAAAGGAGAGGACGCGGGAAAAGATGGTGAAGGCCCTCCAGGACATCTGCAGCAAGGCGCCTCTGTAGCTCATGCGGTGCTTATCATCTCGCGAGTCCCGCAGCGCCTTTTGGTAGGAGGCCAGCACCATGGTGAGCGACAGCAAAGAGGCAGCTGATGACACACCTGAGTGTACAAATAAACATCAGAGATTACCAAGAGGACGTCAATATAATGAAGGTTTGCGTAAGCGACGCTAAGTAGCAGCGGTGGAATGGGCCATTGCTCAGAGTTGGCAGGTTAGTAGTTTTAAAACAGGATACATAATTCTATATTTGAAGCTTTCGTGACTGCAAGGATCCATACTCTTTGGTTCTATTCGGTAAAGTCACGTAGGTAAAAAATAAAACAAAAATCACGACGTTTCGGCCACAACACAAGTGGCCTTCATCAGGTGAAGGGACCAAACTGTCCAGAGGACAGCGTTGGAGTGAAGAAAGCCAAGCGCAGGTCGCCTCCTTTAAGCTGTGAGGGGGTAAACAGAAAACGCCTTGACAAAGGAATTCGCATAAAATGTACTACTGTGAAAGCTTGGAATTAGCATAAAATGACATTACACCACCGTGAGAGTTTGGGATGCCACTACTTGAATAAATATACTGTACCATTGAAAATTAGTTTAATGTTTGGTTCGATTTAGAACATCTTTCCAATGGTTGCTTAATTTGAAACCATCTTCTCGGTTGAAATTGTGTCTGTGTTTGTAAATCTGAATTGCCTCGTGGACAAATCTCTGATAAAAACCCGTGGGTTTGCAGAGGACCTTGGTATCGGAGAAAACTATATCGTGATCACCCACAGCGTTGTAACAGTGATCAGCTACGGCAGAAGAATTCGTTCTGCCGTGTTTCAAATCCGACCTGTGCTCGCGAATTCGGTCAGAGACATGTCGTTTCGTCTCCCCGATATAGCAGTCACCACAGGTGCAGATCAATTTGTAAACCCCGGGGTACTGTAAGTCAGGAATGACATCCTTCACGGAAGGGATCAGGTCATGGATTTTGTTTACTGTATTGAACCGGACCAGGATCTTGTGTTTGTTTAGAATTTTGGAGATCTTTTTAGTAACGCCTGCTATATATGGTAGTGTGATGGTTTTGATCAGAGTATCATGTGGTTGTTTCTGTATGGAGGGAGAAACAGCTTGGCAGATCGTACGGTCAGAGTATCCATTCCTTTTGAGGGCCAGATGTACATGTTTTAATTCGGACCAACACCACCTGACCAGTGAATTAAAACATGTACATCTGGCCCTCAAAAGGAATGGATACTCTGGCCGTACGATCCGCCAAGCTGTTTCTCCCTCCATACAGAAACAACCACTTGATACTCCGATCAAAACCATCACACTACCATATATAGCAGGCGTTACTAAAAAGGTCTCCAAAATTCTAAACAAACACAAGATGCTGGTCCGGTTCAATACAGCACACAAAATCCGTGACCTGATCCCTTCCATGAAGGATGTCATTCCTGACTTACAGTACCCTGGGGTTTACAAATTGATCTGCACCTGTGGTGACTGCTATATCGGGGAGACGAAACGACATGTCTCTGACCGAATTCGCGAGCACAGGTCGGATTTGAAACACGGCAGAACGAATTCTTCTGCCGTGGCTGATCACTGTTACAACGCTGTGGGTGATCACGATATAGTTTTCTCCGATACCAAGGTCCTCTGCAAACCCACGGGTTTTTTTTTATCAGAGATTTGCCCACGAGGCAATTCAGATTTACAAACACAGAAACAATTTTAACCGAGAAGATGGTTTCAAATTAAGCAACCATTCGAAAGATGTTCTAAATCGAACCAAACATTAAACTAATTTTCAATGGTACAGTATATTTATTCAAGTAGTGGCATCCCAAACTCTCACGGTGGTGTAATGTCATTTTATGCTAATTCCAACTTTCACAGTAGTACATTTTATGCTAATTCCTTTGTCAAGGCGTTTTCTGTTTACCCCCTCACAGCTTAAAGGAGGCGACCTGCGCTTGGCTTTCTTCACTCCAACGCTGTCCTATGGACAGCTTGGTCCCTTCTCCTGATGAAGGCCACTTGTGTTGTGGCCGAAACGTCGTGATTTTTGTTGTTTTATTTTTTACCTACATGACTTTACCGAATAGAACCAAAGAGTAGGGTACATAATGACAAATACATTGTTTCGACAGACAGTAGGAACTTCTCTGGGTTAGTGCTAGCTTGGGTCTGGTATCGGAGAGCTGCATTGTCATGGCAGCTTAGACCTGCCATAGATCCCAGACCTTTATTAGCACGTGGGCTCCCTTGTCAACCTGTACTCTGTCAGACTGACCCTGAAGCGATTTGTGATGTCAGATTGATGTGCACCACAATGCACCTACTTAGTTTAACTTCCCGGCTGAGTTACTGCTAAAAAATACAGATGGAATATACTACTGCGTAGATTTTCACGATTGCGTTGCATAGCTCTCCTGTATATTTTCAGGTTGTACCACATGTTGTTCGACATGATGTCCAACATTTCCCTCCACGTTGCTAGGAACCTCTTTAAAATCTGAGAGCTTCTTCAGGAACTGAATTGAGTTCCTGCTATTCAATTCCTAAAGAAGCTCACATGCATGTGGAGCATAACATTCAAGCTGAACAACACCCGGTACAACCTGAAGGCAAATTGAAGAGCTACAGATGGAAAATTACAAAAAGACTAGAGTTTAATTAATAAACGTGTCTAAATGAACAATTAACTATAATATATTTAGTTTCAAGTCACTCTCTGACTGCTTCCCTGCTGCTGATAGGGGACAGATGAGGAGTCGACGGGTAAAGCTGTGGTTGCCAGGCCCTTGGAGCCCCATGGCAAATTTAGCTTCAGCACCAATGTCCCCGGCCATGGTGCTGTTCCTCAGTCAGTTTTGAGCCAGTATATCCTAGTCCCTCGTCGTTTTGAAAACTAGGCAAAAATGGCCACACTACAATGATAACGTTCCAATGTTTAAAGTGGCGCTGTACACCTTTCTTTGCTCAGAATTACTTAAGCTCCCTTGAATGCTTCAAATGATTTGCATGTGCACGATGGCGTGTGTGATCTATTACACTTTGGGTACTATATCGGACAGGAAGCAGGTAGAGGGAGTATCCAGTTGGAGAGCATCTGTTGGCATCGGGAATTGGACTGGGTCACGCCTGCACACGAGCCGGTAAGCGATTGAGATCACCGGCCTTAGGGGTGCTCCTTTGTCACGGGTAAGCTGGGCAGCTCGTCGGAGACAGACAAATAATGACAAATGAAGCATGTTACTAACAACTGCTCAGCTCACATGTGAACTTGACCCAATGAGGACTGTAAATATCCTTTCATTCAACATTACTGCATTCACATGAATACCATATTAAACAAAGAACAATGATTAAGCACTACTTATTTTGAAGATATGTTCAAGCCATTCTATCATACCTGCATGACAATTTTAGGAAGTGATAACACAGCACAGAATAAAACAATATATTAAAAGTAGGCATGTAAGGATGCATTTATTCAGATTAAAATCTATCCTTATGCTCATGATACACGCATTGAATCATATGAAAATCTAAACTAAGCTAAACTTTTTATTTTACCAGGTAAGGCCCACTGAGCTATATAGCTCTTTTTCAAAAGTGACCTGGCCACAAATGATAGCTCAACGAAGTGGCTTATCACGTGTACATTAATAGCAGCCAAATTCTCTAAAAGCATAATTATAAATGTGGAGGGAAAAACCGGAGGACCCGGATTAAAATCCACGCAACCACGGGAAGAACATGCAAACGCTAAATATACAGGCATCAGGGTCAGAATCGAACCCATGACGTCCTGTATACCAGGCGAGGAAGTTAACATCTCACCACCGTGGCACAATTACAGTATACCCCCAGCTAGCCAGACTTTGGATTTAGCCTGACTAATCCCGGATAAAAAAGAGCAAGCTTCAACGTATTTTAAATGCAGAAACATTAAATATATTTTTTGACATTCAATATAATTAATAATCTATTACGTAATGTAACATGTATAATAAATTGCACCATAACATGTTATATTGTGTATAATGTAAGGTATGTATTATTGGGTGTGAACCGTACTTACCGCAAATATATTAGTGGTGGGGTAATAATCACTCTCAGTAAGGTCATTGGGGGCCAACGTGGTTATAGCACTGTGTTATGAACTCAGCAACCTAAGTTTGAGTCTCAGCCACGTCAAAGTCAATGGTGAGTGCTACCTAAACCAATCCTGCCTTTCCCCCACCTCCCCTTCACCAAAACGTAATGACCAGCATGGTGAAACATGGTCAAACAATCCTCATGACTGAGATGGCATGAGGAGCTCTTCATCCATCAATGGACTGCCAACATGTTGTACATTATTTCATTATTATTCAAAACTCAACTATTTTTATGTTTTTATTTTATTTAACCATGTAAGGCCTACTAAGCTATATAGCTCTATTTCAGAAGCGCCCTGGTCACAAATGATAGCTCCACGAAGTGGTTTATGTGGAAATTTATAGCAGCCAAATACCCGCATGTTTCTATATGTGGAGGGAAAAACTGGAGGACCTAGAGAAAAATCCACACGACCACGGGGAGAACATGCAAACTCAAAATATACAGGCGTCAGGATCAGCAGGCTCAGGATCGAACTCACGACCTCCTGTACACAGGGTGAGGTAGTTAACAAATCCGCCACCGTGACACCCCTTCACTATTACATATATATACATCTGAGACAATTGTCATATTTGAAAATAGGAGCCCCTGTCTGCAATGTGACAGTTGCCCACTGACATAATATTACCACTACCCGATGCAGCTATTATAATTGTGACACTATTTTAGTTATGAATTAGGCTGCTGGGGTGTTGTTGTTTTTTTATAATGTTGCACAAACAGAGGTATATATTTTAGATTGTGGCTAATCCATGCTGAAAATAGGGTCAGTGTGTATTGAATATCCCAGCATGGCTCAATACTGAATACTTAAGAGCTCAATATTTCCATTTATATATATTTTTTAAAAGGTCCAAAAAGAGGATGGAAGATGTTTGTGCGTAACTATTAACATAATATGCTCTGAACAAAAAGTGTCAGTGTTTTCAGTGGTGTTTTCAATGATATTACAAGTGGGCATGTACGTTGAACTTCTTTCGTACCGTACGTAACCAAACGGGCTAATCAGAGTTGCTGCGCTACGAACCCGGTAGCCCGGGTTCGATTCCCGTTCACAGCCAACACCAGTGATGATTATCTGAACTGGTCCTGGGCCTCCCCTAGGTCGACTCAGCCTCAAATGAATACAAAGGCAGTCCGGCGTGGTGCTGGCCACCCACCCTCTCTTGTATTGTTCCAGCCTGCATAGGTGCTCGCTAACAGCACTTGCCTCAAAAGTCTATTAAAGGCTATACGATTTAATCACACATATAGCGAAGTCAAAACATCAAGTAATAAAATTCGTTTTTTACAATGTAAATGAATGCAATTGCATTCATGAAAATGTTCAATAATTACATTATTTATGTGTTGTGATTTGCCCATTGTAACACATTACAATTGGTACTTGTATTAATGTACCTGTTGATGTAAAATTAAGTGTTAGCAAGTAATATTACCATTAAAAGGCAAACTAGGCCAAATCTAGCCCGATTTGTGTCCAAATACTTAAAGACACAAGCTTATAATAACAATATGGGGAAAATGCCAGAATGTTGGCCAAATTAACAAAACCTAAATTACTGGGTATGTTGTGATGGATATACTGCCTTATTCAAAAGCCATAACCTCAAAGCACCATCTAATGCAGATGTCACCAATCATGAATCTTGCAGCCATTGTACAGAAAATAATCTGGGCCACCACCCCAGCCCTTGGATTGCTAAGGGATTAAGTAGCTCTTCATGTTCTTAGCCTTTGAGCAAGGCAGCCTTTCCTTTCATTTTTTTCTTTCTTTACAACATAAATAAGCCGAATATTTCCCCTTTCTTAGCTACTCATCCTCCCCCCCCACTAAGCGACCAAAAGGGAATAGTCCTATTTTAACTTAACCATTCAGTTAACATCAAATTGTAAACTGCTGCATGGCAATCTGAGAAACAATTATACCAGCCAACAATTCATATTACAGTATGAAAGCCTTACAATATCAGAGCAGAATTCATTTACACCCTGTGGATGCGCAGACCGTGCAAATATGTGTACACAGAACAGACCACAATTGTGAAATCCGCTTTTAAATAAAAGCACTGAAATTACAATGCACGTGCCATATTGTGTTTAATTTTGTTGAATGACACAATATGTAATATACTGACCATATATAAAGAAATTGTGCATGAAAAAAGTGTGTACGGTTTCTAATGGTTTTAAATATATACCAAATAAAATATATAAATCTCTGTTGATATCATATTTCCACTGAAATTTATTTTAAAGGTTGTGTTTTTTAGTATGTGATATATATATATAAAAAAAAGAAATCACTAAACATATTTAAACGTAGCATTTTGAACTTTTATGAGAGCTGCCAACACATAGTGATTGGACTATGTTTAGGCAGTGCATTTCGAATGTCACTTACTTACAAATATACAAAACTGACCTCATACTGTCTGACAATCAATTTAGGTAAATTTAGAAATGGATAAAATTTACTGTTATGGAACAAAACTAATAACGGTGATAAGACATGCATTATATGAACATTCTGGCAACGCAGCATATACTTGCAAGCAGCTGAAATGTTATGTTTAAAATGGGATGAAAATTAAGAGCTAAACTCAGTGCAATGCTGCCACCTGCTGTATTGAGCAGCTCCGGCAACAGAACAACAGCAGCACCAGCAAAGACAAAATATTAATTACAGTTGTTATTTGTATGTAAACAGGAAACAGGCAGCCAGAATAAGTGATTCCAAATCAGTTTCTTCCCCTCTGTCATATTGAAATCCAAGGCCATCTACAGGTATACTTTATGTGATATAAAATATAAAACAATGATTTGTAATATCAGCTACTATACAACAATTATGAAGAAAGTATTTTGTTTGGTTGGTTGGTGGAAGGAGTAGTACATTTTGCAAGGCCACAAGGAAGAATCACCAAGCAAGGCCACAAGGAAGAATCATCAATTGACCGAGCTAGAAATAATTGTGAAAACTTTCCATGCAATATGTACAATGTCCCAAAATTGTAGCTCGATCGCAAATAACTATTATATAAATGGGCAGCTCATCAAACTTTGTGGTTTCCCATTTTCTTGTTTTAAGGTCAAATTACCATTTTGGGCCATCTTACACGTGAATGTACTGCCTGCTTTTCAAAATAATGATTGTTTTTTCAGAATGGCTTTCCACAGCCACAGCAAATGGCTCTGGCAACACGGGACGGACGTGTCGTGCACTAAGCACGCCGCGCAGTGAGCAAGACTTGGTGCAACTCACATTGCAGCGGCTCGACGTGATGGCGCTGGAGCATGATGGACAGCTGCAGCACCAGCTGAGGCCCGCTCTCGAGGAAGCTCTCCAGCAGGCGCAGGATGCTTACGTCGGCGTACTCGTACATGAGTGCCCATTGGAAGCGCCGGCGGTATGGCCGCCGGCGCTGGCTTTGCACGCCCAGGTAGAGCACGCGCACGTACCTACGGGATGCACGCACGCACACCCACATGGGGCAATACACACGACAGTAGGGCCAGAAGGTCAAGTTAGTGAGCACGTCACCACCACCATTCATAGCTGCATTCTCTAAAATATAACAATTTTGTTTTCAAATCAAAAGTTGGCTCAAAACCGGCTGAGGAACAGCAGCAGCATGGTCTGGGGACGTTGGTGCTTAAGCTAGATTTGCCATGGGACTCCATGGGCCCTGCAACCCCAGCTATGTACCTGCTGACTCCTCATCCATACCCCCCCCCACTGGCAGGGAAGGGGTCAGAGAGCAATCTGAAAACAAATATATTTTGATTTAAAGCTTTCGTGACTGCAGTAATTCATATTCTTAGTTTTTTCGGTAAAGTCACGTTGAAGAGAAACAACAAAATAACAAAATATATATAAAACAATAAAAAAATTCTCACGACGTTTCGACCATAACTCAAACGGTCATCATCAGGTGTGTCGGTTTGCATAAATGTATTTTTAAAACGGCACATTTATTTATTTATAAAAAACGTTGGCGTCACGCGCAGCGATTGGCAGTTTGCCCAGGACTAGTCCATCTATTTTTTGAAAAGAGGAGGGGGGAGACGAATTTTTTTATAATGTATGCTGTCTGAAAGCCACTGTAAGCGTGAACAATCAATCAAGAACTGAAATGATTTATCAAATCTTTCCAATGATTGCTAAGATAGAATCCATCTTCTCGGTTGAAATTGTCTCTGTGCTTGTATATGTGGATAGCCTCATGAACGAATCTCTCATGTAAGCCAGATGGCTTACAAACTAAGTTGCCTCTGTGGTAGTAGTTACATTGGAGAAACCAAACGCCATGTCTCGGACCGCATTCGTGAACATAAAGCAGACCTTAAACACGGTAGGACCAACACCTCGGCCGTAGCAGATCATTGTTCTAATTCAGTAGGCTCACATGCCATTGACTTTTCCAAGACGGAGGTTCTTTGTAAGCCATCTGGCTTCCATGAGAGATTTGTTCATGAGGCTATCCACATATACAAGCACAGAGACAATTTCAACCGAGAAGATGGATTCTATCTTAGCAATCATTGGAAAGATTTGATAAATCATTTCAGTTCTTGATTGATTGTTCATGCTTACAGTGGCTTTCAGACAGCATACATTATAAAAAATTTCGTCTCCCCCCTCCTCTTTTCAAAAAATAGATGGACTAGTCCTGGGCAAACTGCCAATCGCTGCGCGTGACGCCAACGGTTTTTATAAATAAATAAATGTGCCGTTTTAAAAATAAATTTATGCAAACCGACACACCTGATGATGACCGTTTGAGTTATGGTCGAAACGTCGTGAGAATTTTTTTTTATTGTTATATATATTTTGTTATTTTGTTGTTTCTCTTCAACGTGACTTTACCGAAAAAACTAAGAATAACAAATATATTATAGTTATAATAGGTTTTTGCCCTTTTTATGGCAACAAAAGAGGTGTTAAGATGTTAAAACACCAAACTGAAACCTTTTACAAGGAATCATGTCTGCATTAACCACAATACTTGTGATCAGGATGCAAACAAAAAACATACTCTGATAATATATGCATTGTCGTTGACACTGATTGGTCCACACCAGAGACAGCTTTCTTTTGAGCCTTGTCTCAAACGGTGTTAGACCAGAGGATGCCATAAGATCCCATGATGTAGATGGTTAATGCAGACATGATTTCTTGTAAAAGGTTTCAGTTTGGTGTTTTAACATCTTAACACCTGTTTTGTTGCCAGATAAAAGGGGAAAACCCTATTATCATATTTTGGTACCGGCAAAGGAAATCCCATGATATTATAGTTAATTTAGATCGATTAAAATTAAATCAAAAGTTGGGACTGCACCATACAGGGTGTTTTAAAAAGCAGTACTGCTTTGAAATTAGGTCCATCTTTTTAAAACACCCTGTATAATCTGGTATGTGGCCTGAAACTAAGCATGATGTGTGGTGAGAACTATTTGCGTTTAGTTTGGTGTCCTTTCCCCACACCTCCGATTAGCATGGTTGGCTACGTACGGCGCGAAAGAGATTCAACATACACACACATCCAAACTGGGCCCCTGTACATGCAAGTTACAATTGAGCTCAGCAATCCAATTTATTAGCCGTTTGGTCCAATGAAACAATTCATACAAGTGACTTAAAAAAAAGTTAAGGTACTGTACAGAAACTCATAAAATACACTCAAATAAAGACAAAGTGGAGTTTTTTAAATATACGCTTTAACGGTAATGTAACAGTTTAGAGACGAGCAGCTTAGTGTACCATTTGTAAGACAATGCAATGTTCACACTTAAATTCGTACTGGGTACCGTAATTCGCATGGTCCGTGTAACGCTGCTATTCAATTACCTGCGTTCTATGGTTTTGCAGAATTTAGTTTTGCTTTCAAAATTACCAAAAAATGTTGAAGGTGTGTCTTCATATCTGTTGCATTATCTAGTACACAAGTCTGGAAGTGCCAATGCAATTAAGCGGTACAAGGGTTATTCCACATCACACCATCACATATAGGTAATGCCTGGTAAGTTGAATGTTTTTTTTATTTTACTTAAAATGTATAAGTCGGGTGATATGAGGTGCTTTCCCAAATGTACAGCACTTTACCATTGCCCTCGATCCCACAATGTTATTTACAATGGAGAGGAGGGAGGTCAGAGGCACTCGTAAAAAGGTGTTTTCTTGCAAGCATGAAAAAAAAAATGCACCATGGCAACCAGACTAGATATAAGAAATGTTGTGCATTCGCTTACATACACTCAAAATACAAGTATTAGTTGTTTTATTTATGCTGCATTCAATTTAGCAAACTTTCAAAAAATGTTTTTATAAAGTCATTGATCATGCCTTTACATTGCACCGTATTCTCTGTAATATCAGCCTCCAGAGTTGTACCAAAGAAGCAATGTTCTTGGATTCACTGCCCCATATTCACGTGGCACGAGATTTGTAAATATGCAACGCGGTTAGAATTGTAGATCTAAAGATATTTCCATGGTGTTTGGATGTGCTTTATATGAAATTAGCAATTCAATATAAGGATGTTTGAGCAATTTAGTGAATTTGCGAAATACATTGTAGACACAGTATGTCGCGAAGTTTATGAAAATAATACTTTTTTGGAGGCTGGTATCAAAGAGAATATAAAAAAAAACAATCAGTACAAATGTACTCTTTTAAGAGATAAAGTTCTAATCTCTGGTAGAACAAAAATCATCTTTGCTGTTTTTGGGGTGGTGGTGCAAAGCATAGGGCTAGACCTTTACTTTAAACAAAATGTGCTTGAATGTTTGCCAAAATCAAGAAAGACGAGTAAAACATTATTCCTAACATATTTATTTGGTTTGTGTTTTCGCAGTGTGCATAAAGAAATGCAAAAAAATGCACATCCTTAGCCCTTCAGGTTACGAAGGTGCAGAGTCGTAAAAATTGCTTCAAGCGTACACCAGTTACAAGTGCTGCCAGCCCACACTCCCTTGTATATATCATGTGGGCCTCAAGGGCAGTTATAAGGTTTGGAACATTTGAGAAAGCACCTCATTTAACTTGAACAAAATTACAGGAAAAGAACAGACATGTCACTTACAAGCCCTGGATGATCAGAAGTAGTGGATTCACCCACAACTGAACAGAATGCTGCATTGGTAACACAAATCAACTTAAAATTACAAAAAATGTTCAAGAAAACCAATAAAATGTCCTACACTTGGATGTATCATAAACTAACATATGGAACAACTGGTGTACAGTTACAATATTGTATACTTGAAATATACTCTTTATTGTTCAATGTTTTAAACCCTTCCCTTAAATTGCAATATAGAGGCAAGTGTTTGGCAAGAGCATTCAAAATCCAAGTGTGCCCACGGAGACGATAATGGGCACATTCGTAGACTCATAAATGTGCTCAGCGAAACCCAAACTCGCAGCGCACAAGTCGAAATAACTCGATAAATATAATCACCCAAGCAGCACGGATTGTGTTGCCAAACATGGCAGTTCAGGATCACAAATGAGCACATTTGGCACTTGAGTTTCCTCTGTTTGATTGACAGCTGTACCATTAGAGCAGAGCCAACCAAGAAATGAAACAAGACGCTCTACAGTATTAAACGTTAAGATGCTTGGGCAGCATACAAAATGAAACAAACCCACGGAAATGAACCTTTGGGAATGCCTTAATTCTAGCACAAATGAAAAAAAGAAACATTTCTGCATGTAATGAGGCTCGGGTCTGATACAATAAACACTACACACTTATATGAGTCACTTCACGTAAACATTTTAGCCATATCCATGGTATCGCCCCCCGCCCCCCCAAATAAATCCAAGCAAGCCGAGGTGGTGGAAATGTTGAAGGTGCATCCTAGGAAGAAGTACACATACAAACTGGGATAGGATGTGTTGACTTCAGGGATTAAACTGAATAAAGTTTTACACTTTATAAATATATTACTTGAACTTTGAAACCACCCCTCTAATATACAGAAACATGCAGCGTAATAAAAATATTCCCTTTCACAACCTCTGTCTAATCGTTGTTTAATTCCAGACTGAAAGTATATTCGAATCATGTGCATATCTACAATAGAGCTGGCGTTATCCTAGGCGGTTGGTTCCAAGGTTTTCACAATTTGTCATACACATTTTTACGAGTAATCAGGATTCATCTTATTTGGTTCTTTCGGTAAAGTCACGTAGAATGAGAATAACATAATAAACTGATAAAATAAAATAACACAATAATATTCTCACGACGTGATGAAGGCCGTTTGTGTTGTGGCCGAAACGTCGTGAGAATATTGTTGTGTTATTTTATTTGATCAATTTATTATTTTATTCTCATTCTACGTGACTTTACCGAAAGAACCAAGAAGATGAATCCTTGCAGTCACGAAAGCTTTAAATCGAAAGAGTAATCAGGAGTTATATGGCTTTTACTTTTCTTGCTTAACTTCGTTTG